ACTCATCACCAATCAAAACACCTTTCATGTTTGCTTTAATTTCAGAAATTGACGGAATGACCCGTGCTTTTCTTCGAATTGGGTAAAATTGGCTGAACTGCCGTGGAGAACTGGTAAGATCCCTCAGTAACCCATGTCCATCGTACAGCTCTTGAATTTCTTAAGAGTTTTATCATAAATATTAATCTGCTTCAATAGTTTTGGGTGTGGCAACAAAAAATAAGGCCATATAGGACCTCATTTCTGCAAATGTCACTTCTCAAAATCAGTCAACCACATTGCTGAATCATACTACTAGTGTATAAATGTATTGGAAAATGTAAGTAAACATTTTAAACCTTTCCACAATTTAACAAATGTCTTGGAGAAATCTGAATAGTTTTCAATTGCGATAAAAAACCAAACAATAATGTGCAGTAACAGTCCACCGAGCGCTTAAAATGAACGCTCAAAATTGCAAATGTTTCAACAAGTCAAAATTAGACACAATCGATATGCAATTAGTAAATTGGTAGTCCTTTTTAAAAACCTGAAGCTGAGGAGTAAAACAATGAAAGGCGGGAGTTGGGAGGTAAATGTTACGGGAGGCAGGAGAACGAGGTACGGAAATTGGGAAGGCTCTGCCCCCCTTCCACCATCCCCTCTCCCCCCCAACCGTGGACAGTAAATTGAGCAAGTCATAAGATTTATTGATAACTGACTATATTTCAGTGTTCGCTGAATACAAAAACGTAATTACATTTTTCTCAAATTTACAAGTTTCTCCATGCCCTTATTTGTTTATTAGATTTATTATATTACTAAAACTTCACTCTATCTGCAACGCATTCTGATTGGAAAGGCTATCAAAGGCTACTGCACCTTTTTTGCACTACTAACATTCCCGTACATGCGTACATGCAACGGATTATTGTTATCAAAATTACAACTGAAAGCACCCGTTTTCTTGTATATTTTTCAAAGAGTTATTGACCAAGGTCAAGATATTTGGATATTGGGTGAAAAGATGAAGGATTAAGGACCTCAAGGCTGGTTGCCTAAGAAGTATCATATCTCTAGCTAAGTCTGGAGCCACCAATGAGCTTCCTACTTAATCAATGTTGTACTTGAAAAACTAATTTTCCAAAAAATTGCAAATCTGCATGGCATTTGCCTGATTAAATTTCCACTGCCTTAAATAGTAAAAAATAGAGGCTTTAAAAACTTAAATTTTGGAAACTTCAGTATCATGTTACATCATACAATTTAAAAAAAAAAGACATTGAACTAATTATATTAATAGACATAAAAAAATTGTGCGCTTTTGATTAAATGAGTGCATTTTTTCATATAACACGAGTGCAAGGTTGTAACACATGTGCGAAGTTGTAATACGAGTTCAAATTTCAAATAGCACGTGCCTACTGTCAAAACACCGTCCCTCTTGAGTTTCTGTGATATTTTTTCATATACACGATTGTGCAATTTGGTGTAAGTAGGCAATTGTAACAATTGTTAGTTTCCAATAGTTACATATTACTTAGATGATTATTGACACAAAGCACTTATTTATTCTTAATAGTAATTAATCTCTTGACAAACTCAGAAACAAGCTAATTCACTTGCTGATTCATTACGCGTGTGAAACTGTCTGAGTCTGTAAACTAAACGCAAAAGTAAGAAAGGAAAATCAGTGCGATTTTTAAATAATGATTATTTGGTGTGAAATGTCTTCAAACAAGACTGCTACCGCAATGCGTCCCTCAGTGGTCACTGTAATCCCATTTATAGAAAATTGCTTTTCCAAATGGATAGACGTACTTCGTACAAACTCGCCATCTTTGGTGTAAATTTCTATTTTCAGGAGACTTGGGCGAAAACTTAAACCGACCTTGACGATTTGTTGACTTTCTCTGTGAAATGCAATATTTCGCTGTTTAGAACTCCCTTGGAGATCAAACCTGTTCAGAGGCTCACCTTGTTCGCTGAATATATGAACACCGCATGTGTCCACCACCATAACTCTGCCATCATTTACCGTGATACCAGACGGGCGGCTCAAAATTTGTTCTCCAAAACTGCAAACAAACTGACCATCAGTCTCATATACATCCACACTACCACTAAACCCGACACCCTTCAGTACCACCAGTTTTCCACTATCACTGACTGACAGTCCTTGCAGAACGTATTCGGAGCCCAATTTCCTCAAAGGGAACGTGTGATGCTGGTCAGCGGTTTTGTTAAACTTAAAAATCCAGGATGAGTCCACACGATCCTCTTCTTTGACCAGCACATAAACGTTATCGTTTATGTCTGTGACCAAGAGAACCGACCACTCAACAACCAACAGTTCATTACCACCGTCATCAATAAGAGGAGGAACTCTGAAACGTTTCACAAACTTGCCATTGTTGTCAAACACCTTGATTGTCAAATCACGGTCTGCTACGATATATTGCCCGCTTGAGTTGGTAGCGATAGCACGCGGCTCATTTATCTTGTGCTCCTCTTCGCCATCCTGACCAAGTATCCATAATACACAGCAGTTCCCCATACCCTGTTTACGTAGCGCTTTTGTTACTCTCCCGCCACGCAATATGTCAACTTTCTCCTCTCCTGTATTAACCATGGGCCACTGTGGCAATGGTTCTGCTTTAGCGGATACTGTTTGTGTGACATCGTAGGCGATACGATTGACGCGATAGACAGCGCAAATGGTTTTCCGTCGCTCTTCTTTATTAAACAATCCCTTGACTGCGCTGATTCCTGTCTTGAGCTGTACTTTAACAATTTGCTGAACCATTGGCAGACCATTTAGGTCTTCAATACAGACTCTACATGGTGCCACAGCATCCCCGGGATTGTCTATTGTCTCTAGCACTGTTGACATCACTCGGTACTGCGCTGCTAAGATGCGGTCGGATGTTGATAGCGCTTCATTTGAAAAAGCTTCTGTTGCCTTTTCACGAGCACGTTCGAATCTCTTCTTTGCACTGGCAAGCTTTCTTGTGGCAGATTCAGTAAGTTCCAAGTTTTGCATTCCTTCAGTGAGAGATACAGCTTCTACACAAGCCGCTTGTGCTGTATCCGCGCAGAACTCGCTCCTCGGCTTCGTCTCGTCAAATACTTCATACAGCAACTCGATTCCTTCACTGAAGAAGGTGATACTTGCTAACAAATCTTTCCTTGATAACCCATCCAGCTTGGACTTCATGTCGTCGATTTCGCGCATGATGATGCCACGAAATCGTTGTTCTGTTACATCACCACTTTGAAGCTTTTCCGCTGCTTTATCTCTGCCTTTATCCACAAGCCATCCAATGGTCGCTCTGACAACTGCTGTTATGATCCCGGACATAATGGCGGCTTGGAAGTGAATTATCAGAAGAACAAATTGGTAGCTGTTTTCAGCGAGTCTACAAAAAATCCTCTTACTTAGTTGTTAAGGAACGCAATCAAAATAGCACTGAAAATCGCAGTACTGATTGCAATTTTTGGAATGCCAATTGCGGTCAGCTAAAAACAAAAGAAGATAAAGACGAAGCCATCAAGGACAGCAAGGGTCAAGGCGTGGACGTATAGCCTCTTTGTTGAAAAATTACTGACTTTGTTGTTCACAGACACCTAAGTGTGAAAATCGAGCTTTGTGGATTCAAAGGGCGAAATACCGAGGTTTTATTTTTAGACTCAAACTCATAGGCTGAATTATTACAAGAAACCAGATATTGTTATCACTCAGTCCCACAGTCCACACTGAACAAAGGAAGACTACAGAACATAGCCAATGTTTTGGTATAAGGTTTAATTAGTCTGCGATGCGCGTCACTGCCGTTCACCACATAAGTTTAGTGTGTTATGCATCAGTAAGTAGTACAATATAAACCACAGTCTCGTTCCCGAAAGAAATCAATGACTGGCAAATTTTTGAAAGAGAAAAAGGATCTATAACAATAAAACTTGAATACTCCTATGAGTGAAAGTGCTTTGTTTAGTGAAATGTAAGTTGTGATTATTGCGAATAAGAAATTTTCTCAGAGCAAAAATTGTTTGATGCCCGAGGGAAAGAAAAATGATAATTGTTCGTGAATGTTCTCAGCTGTAACGTGTTTGAGTTCTTTATCTTGTTACCAGTTATATAGCTGCTGTACTACATAAGGAGACGGAACGTGCTCTTCCAACCAAATTCGTATTTGGCTATTCATCGGGTTTCGGCTCTTCCCACTTAGGATCTAATTTGCTTTGGTAGTCATTGAAACCTCCTCTCACGGCATTGGTTAAAAGTCAAGCTTTGTGAACTCAAAGGGCACAAGACCGAGATTTTATTATTAGTTGCAAAATGATACGCTTAGTATGACTTTAAACCCGATATTAATATCATTGTCCTAGACTCTACACTGATCTAAGGAGGGCTACAGAAATTAGCCATTGCTTTGGTAAAATGATTAATTAGTCTGCGATATAATAACACTGGGCGAAAAATCAGATTTGACGTCAGACAAATGCAGTCCAAATGTGGTTCAAATGTGATGTTTGTCATATTTGTCAGTATTTGACTTGAAGACAAATATGACATTTGTCCTAAAGATAAATAAGATAATTGTGCATTTGCTTTTGGGTGTTAATATGGACAAATGTGGTGTAAATCTGAATTAAATATCATGATTTGTCCTGCTCTAAACAAGGACAAATGCGTTAAAGATGACATTCGCAAGAACAAATTCAGGACAAATGTAAAGCAAATATCATCTTTGTCATGGAACAATCCAAAATTCTCTTCCCCTCCATTGACCCTGTCGTCAATTTGCACAAAATTGCTTTTTCCACATGTTATTTCAGTATTAGGGTTGCAAGTACCCAATAATACACTGCATTTAATAAAATATCAGAAATTTCATTGTTTCAGTGGCAGTTTAAAATGGAATCGCATTTACTTTGATTAATGCAATCCTCTCAGGTCCAATCATCTCACACCCACAGTTCTGACTAAAATCAACAGACATAAATGTATAGTAAATGGAAAATTTATTAAACATTTCTCSTTTTCTGTACAAACAAAACCCTTTCTGTTAAAGAAAATTAACATTTAATAAATAAATATATTTAATCAGCCCATGCACACTTATATAAATACCATATATGTGATATAGAATATAACCTTAATAATGGGGAAAAGCTACAAGGCAAGTTTAAATTATAACATCATTGATTTTAAGTCTTTACAGCACTCCTGCCAGCAGGACATTCTCAACAAAACATTTTCACATGAACTGTACAGTGTGTTATGATTCATAAAGAGGAGTTACTTCCAAAAACTCCTACTCAGGCACTGCCTACCCTATCAGTTTCAATACAGTAGGTTCTATTTTATAAGGTATTAAAAGACCGAACATCGTCGCAACATACCAATTAGTCTTTGATAACATCACCAACACAGCTAATCCTACAAATTACTGTCAAACTGCTGGTAACTTTTTTTTACAGAAACTCATCAACGTTGTGTTGCAATGTTCCAACATTGATTGACAGTTTGCTGCATGAAATTAGTAACAGACTCACTTCATAGCAATTTAACTAAAAAAGTCAATTTCACATGACTACTTTTGAAGTGTGATTTCCTGACCATGGCAATTTGAATGCTAAATTCTTGCAGTCTGTTACCTTGATAAACAGGCAAATATTGAGCTAATTCATTTTGTTTCTTAGAAACTGATCAGCAATTACCTTGTTTTATATGGGAAAATGGAACTTGAAAATAATTCAAACTATTCTAGCAAATTTGAAGTGAAAGTTGCAAGTTGCATTCAGCAAGCTGTCAATCAATATTTTCACATCACAATGCAATATTCTAGAGTTTCCATTCAATGCAAGGTTAGGGCTTACACTTTTAATTTTGAAGCACGATTCCTGGTTTTGCTAATTTAACTAAGCCCGTCACTTATTTGTCGCAGTCTCTCGATAAACAGGCGGGTGACGGCTGACTGAATTTACTCTGTTTCTTTGAAACAGAGCTGGTATTACCTTGTTTTATACCGCAAAATGAAAACAGGAACTTGGAAACTTACTTGAGCAAATTTGATAGTGAAAGTTGCAACTTGCTTGTACAGGTTGAAACTTGCTTGTACAGGTTGAAACTTGCTTGTACAGGTTGAAACTTGCTCGACAATTATTTTCCTTATAGTGTTGTTGACACTAAAGTTTAGAAACTAATGCAAGTGACAACACACCTGGTCAAAACAAAAAAATAATTGGTCACGTGATAAAAATGTTTAGTCATTTCTGTTTAGGATAAGTACACCATTTTTCACTCACATTGTGACCCATTTGATTCCTCCTAGAATTTATTACACTTTCATCCTGCTTGTTTGCCACTTGGAGCAGTCCCTCATTCCTCATGTGGGTTAACAACTCCTCTGATTTTTGCCTTGAGGGTTTTAAAGTAAGTCTTTAAGGCACCTGTGACAAAAGCAATTCAAAATATCACAAATCTTGATCATTGTCCAGAATAAAATAAAAATATCACTGAAAAATAATGTTACTGAAAAGGTCTGAATGTTGCACTATTTTCCTTGCTTGATATTGGATAAATGGACTCAACAAAGGAATCTTCAAAAGTGGCCAAAGTACATACAAATTAATGCAAACACCTTAATTTTTACTTTCTTAGTCAATCATATCATCAATGGATAAACTTAACAGAATAGCTGGGTTAAGTTAAAGGCTAGAGAGGCACTATGGAAGTAAAGTGTCTTGCCCAAAAACACACAATACAACACACTGGTCCAGGCCAATGCTCAAACCCAAATGTCTGATCCACAGTTTAATGTGCTAGCTAGTAAGCCACCAAATATTATAGTCATAATTGTAGAAAATTAATCTATATTTACGCTCTAATATGACAGTATCAACGTCTTTGAAAGCTGATGTTGCTCTGACACCTCTTTCGATTGCTTGGGTAACTTCAAGGATGGTGTCATCATTAAAACTGAAAAGCAAAATGAGGTTAAGCTTTTAAGTACTTGGGTTGATGTATACTGTAACTCAAATTAATAGAAACACTCAAGACATATATTGTTTAGTAGAAGTTTGGGAGAACCAAAAAATTAGCTAAACACTGGCCAATGGCTCATGTTACCACAGCATTTCTCATTCTCCCAACTTAGTCTATGACAGTTCGACTATCATGCACCATTTGACCAGGGCTTTATGAAAACACAAAATCATAGATATCCCTGATCATCTGAGATGGTCGGGGATAAATCGGGAGCGCTTCTATTTACCTGATGGCTGCCAGATTTCTGCAATCATTCCCAACATATGAAAACATAAATTGGCAAAATCTGGGATGGTCGCAAAACAGCGAAATCGCAGAGTTTCTGGAACTTTCCCAACATACATGTACAAAAACCAGGCTTAAAGGCGCTACAGCAAAGACAGCGGCTCCAGACAGCGCATCTTAAAAATTTGGCCAAGTTTTTCAAGTCTGCCATTCTCAATCTTGCCCAATCTTAACCATCCTTGTTCCTTTTTGGTTTATTGTTACCTCTTTGGTGTTTTTCTAACTTAGAAAACTAAATTTGAAAGTAATTTTTGTGCATCAGCAAAACGGCTTAAAATATCATGACATAGCTCCTTTAAAACTACCTACTACAATAACTCGAAAAAAAATTTCATCCTTTCAAAACAAAATGGCCGTCTATTGTTATGACGGCTATGTGCATGAAATCAGCAACAAAGTGTTACCAACAAGCTGTTATCAACACCGTGACGTCTCAAAGTTAAAATAACCAAAATACTCACCACCATATCTTGTGGAAGGTTTTCACTTTTCCTTTTTTCTGCCATTGCGGGTGCTGACTGTTGGCCTTGTAAGTTGTCAATTTTTTCTGTAAGAACATGTTTTCGTGGTCGGAACAACTCGCTCTAGCGTTTACATGAGACAGTGGCGTGGTGGCCAGAGTTGATCGGTTCCTCGATGAGGAGGAAGATGGCGTTCCGCAGGGCACAATTGAAGGCAAGCGAGTGGAGGCGACTGGCTGATAAATTGGCGAGGTCTCTTCTGAATCACTATTAATGTCAAGCTGCAAATCAAGACGGATATGATTTTCAGATCGAGATCTCTCGTTGGAAATCCGCGGACGGTCTTGCGCTCGAGGAACGACTGCAGTTGTCCCTGGAGTTGTCTAAATATTCAAAGAGCAAAACGAGTGAAATGCTGACCTGTCTTAACTGACCTACGTTTAATTAATACATGTAAAAGCTTACCATTCGACGGTGAAAGTGCCTAGACGTTAGCGGTGACTCGGGAAGCTTGTCAAAATCAATCCCTGCATTGCTCGATCTGTTTCTGTGAGACATATTACAAAACTGCGGAGGAACTTTTGGTTAAAGACTTGCTTCAACGAAGACGTGACACTTGGACGAAAGACGCTTTAAATTTGAAGTGACGCTCGAAATCCCGCCGATGTCCAAGAATTCGAATTCAGTACACTAAGCGTCGCACGAGGGCCTTAAATAGGGATTACCTGCCCATGCACTTCCGTAAATTTGCATAGTTTTGTTGCGGATCTGAGTGAAGCGGCAAATGTTACTTTAATTCTCGTCAGTTCTCGTCATTTCTCAGCTCATTATCTTTCCTGAATTCGAAAATGAGGGAAAAACAGTTATTACTGCAGTCACTGTGATGACTTTGTCAGTCGAGGTACACGATCCAGACATCTCAAACAAATTGCAGAGAGAACGGAAATTGCCTCTTAAAGTGCTAGCGACGTCTGAAAGGGCTAGCGACGTCGAGAGAGATTCTGAAGTACACTGCTTGGAATCCCACGATAGTTTTGAGGATCATGAGGAATGCCTCAGTGCAGATTTAGCCCTTTCCTTTCCCTTGTTCTATCCTTTTTATTTATTTTTAACACAATGACATTTCTCTTCTTTTCGACAGTCTAATGTGGGACATTAGGGACCTTAAGAAACCACGACGGCGACGCCAAGGAAGACTTCGATTAAAAAAATGAATTTCTACTCTTAGTTAGAATTGCAAAAATGGCTGCAGGAGCTTACTGTCTCATATAGCGCCACAGCTCAACTTCCGCATGACGAAAAAAGTAGCCGTTGAGTTCCAAATCGAAATTAAAATAATTTGCCGTCGCGGTTTCGGTTCTCAGACGACGCAAATTTTGGCGATTTCACGTTGCTGTTTTGCACAGGTCGGCTATGAAATGTACAAAGTTTCAAAACGCACGTGCTGAGCTACTGTTCTGCCAATTAGATCTCTTGTTTTTCCACGTCCTCGTTGCCGTCGCCGTCGTGGTTTCTTAAGGTCCCTAATGCCGGCTTGGGTTTTACTAATAAAATTCGAACAGTACCGCAGAAGTTAACAGTCAGTTCAGGCAACTGTATGGCTTGCACCGGTCAAGTCACGCAATTCCTTGTACGAGCCTCTACCAATATTCAGTTTGTTTTAGTAAAAATCACACTTTTGATCTAGACAAAAAATGCCCAAATCTGAGTGATCTCCTTAAAGATGCAAAGTAGGGAAACTGAATAGATCTACAAGGGGGGACGCGAGTGAAAAAACGTCTCTGTGGGGTGAAATAGGGTTCGTATGATGTTGAACACATTTGTCTGTTTTGTCTAATATTCGTCCTTGAATGAAATATGGCTTCATATTCAAACAGCATTTGTCTTGCATTTATCAGGGACAAATATGATAACATAGTTGTCACACGTTTGACGTCTTTGAGACCAGGACAAATGTAAAGTCAGATTTGTCTCACATTTGACCTAGAGCCAAGTTTGGTCAAATCCATTATTTCATCCAGTGTATAATTTAAACATATTTATACAGGATTGCTGCTTCAGTTTAGGAAATAAAACTGCTATCAATGCAGGTCCTGTTAAAAAAAATAAATAGAAATCAATTTAGAGTAAATTTTAAAATAGTTACAATAAACGAAAGTAATTTGGACAATAACAAATTCTACGAATTATTAAAAATTATTATAAGTCATTAAAGATTTTTGCACTTTTATAAAAAAAAGCGCGCTTGGTGCATTCTAATTTAACTTTTTCTAAAATAAGACCGTCATTATTTCTAGTATTGTAGCGGTGAATGTCGCGAATTCTTACATTAAAATAATTAAAAAGACATCTGGGAACTCTATTTGCAATGCACTCATTAACAAATCTAAAAATATGTGTTCGTCTTCTATAATAGAGGGGTTCCCAGCCCACTTTAGTCATAGCTTGATCAGTTGTTAGTTTTGATGCTTCTTTGGAGTAGACGATCCTCGCTGCTCGTCGCTGTAGTCGTTCAATCTTGTAACTCAGGGCTTTCAGGGCTTAGCCTGGGTACTGGACTTCTGTTTATGTTGCACTACTTACTGATGCATAAAACACTCAACTTATGTGGTGAACGGTAATGACGTACATCGGAGACTAATTAATCATGACACCAAAATGTCCTTGTCCAAAATGTCCACCAAAATGTAACCTTCCTTTGTTCATTGTTTAGTGTAGGACTAAGTGAAGTCACGAGTAAGCGACTGAGTTTGCGTCTAAGAATGAAATCTCGGTCGTTCGCCCTCTGAGTTCACAAAGCTTGATTTCAACCAATGCTGTGAGAGGGGGTTTCAGTGATTGTAAAAGTAAATCAGGTCATAAGTGTACAGAGCCGAAACACGATGAATAGCCAAATATACGAATATGGTTGAAAGAGCACATTTCGGCTCCTGATATAGTATAGCAGCTATTTAAGGTTAACAAGGTAAAGAAAAAAGAACTATGATTTATGTAAATGAAAGAACTCAAACACATTACAGCTGAGAACAGCGCTAACAACTAAGGAACATTCATGAAAAATTTTCATTCTTCTTTGCTTCGGTTATCAAACAATTTTTGCTCTGAGAAGTCAAATGATGCCATGACGCGGTTAAAATTTCTCATTCGCAATGATCACAAGTCAGTTACATTGAGTACTTTCGCCCAGAAGGGATTTTTAAGCTTTACTTTGACTAATCCCTATTCTCTCTCAAAAGTTTACCAGTTAACAAATGGTAGACACCACAGCGTACACTATTGAGTCATGGATGCAAGCGGGAGGCTGCTAAGCAAGAAAGAAGCGTAAGAGTCGATCGAGGCGATAGCCGAGAGCGACTCTAGCTTCTTGAGTGCTTAGCAAACCTCCCAAGTGCATCCATAACTCAATAGTTTACGCTGTGGTGTTTACCATTTGTTTAATAACATAACATTGATACATTGTAGCTAAAGAGTTCCCTTTTATTTAACAAATCTTACGTGACCAGAAAAAACAAGCGCGCGCGGAAAAATAGTCTTTGCATTTGCTCACGTCAGCAGTGTACACCCATGGGCAAATGGGGGACGCTAAATTGACCAATCAGAGCGCGGGCTTTACTTTGGTTATGTTATAATAAGTGATATCATTCGTGCACGAAAAAAATTACTTCAGACCACAAAAGTATTTTTTCAAAGAGGAATGTTTTCAGCTAAAGATTCTTTCAATTATATTGAAGAGGCTATAAATCATCATGCCTTGACTCCTTGATGTCCATGATGGTTTCGTCTTTGTCTTTTGTGTTTTTTTGGCTGACCACAAATTTGTAATCACCCCTCAGATTTTCTTTGCTATTTTGATTACATTCATCGACAACTGAGAGAGAGGTTTTTGCGTAGACTCTCTGAAATCAGTTGCCAAGTTGCTCTTCTGACAATTCAGTTCCAAGCCACCACTATGTCCGGGATCATAACAGCAGTTTTCGAAGCGACTATTGGATGGCTGGCGGATAAAGGCAGAGATAAAGCAACGGAAAAGCTTGAAGATGGCGATGTAACAGATCATCAATTTCGTGCCATCATCATGCGTGAAATGGACGAAATGAAGTCCAAGCTGGACGGATTACCAAGGAAAGATTTGTTAGCAAGTATCAGCTTCTTTAGAGAAGGAATCGAGTTGTTGTATGAAGCATTTGGCGAAACTAAGCCGAGGATCGAGTATCGAGCAGATACAGCACAAGCCGCTTGCGTAAAAGCCGCTTTGTCGCTCACTAAAGGAATGCGAAAAATGGAGCTTACTGAGCCTGTAACAAGAAAGCTTGCTAGTGCAAAGAAGAAATTCAAGTGTGCTCGTGAAAAAGCAACAGAAGTTTTTTCAAATGAAGCGCTATCGACCTCCGACCGCATCTTATCGAGCAGTGCCGAGTGATGTCAACAGTACTGGAGACAATTGACAATCCCGCGGATGCTGTGGCACCATGTAAAGTGTGTATTGAAGACCTAAATGGTCTGCCAATGGTTCAGCAAATTGTTAAAGTACAGCTCAAGACAGGAATCAGCGCAGTCAAGGAATTGCTCGATGAAGGAGAACGATGAAAAACCATTTCCGGTGTCTATGATGCCATTCACATAGTATCCACTAAAGAACCATTGCCACAATGGCCCATGATTGATACAGGAGAGGAGAAATTTGACATATTGCGTGACGGGAGAGTAACAAAGGCGCTACGTAAACAGGGTATGAAGAACTGCAGTGTATTATGGATGCTTGGTCAGGATGGCGAAGAGGAACACAAGATAAATAAGCCGCGTGCTATCGCTACCAACTCAAGCGGGCAATATATTGTAGCAGACCATGACTTGACCTTCAAGGTGTTTGACAACAGTGGCGAGTTTGTGGAACGTTTCAGACTTCCTCCTCCTATTGATGACAGTGGTAATGATGTATTGGATATTGACTGGCCGTTTCGTTTGGCCACAGACATAAACGATGACATTTATGTTACAGTCAAAGAACAGGATCACGAGGACTCATACAGGATTTTAAAGTTTAACAAAGCCGCTGAAAAGGATTACACGTTTCCTGTGAGGAAAACCGAGGGCTTCAAGCACCAATGGTGTAAACTGTCAGTCAGTGATAGTGGAAAAGTGATGGTACTGAGAGGTGACTGGATTGAGAGCCGTTCCATAGTTGATGTCTATGAGACTGATGGTCAGTTTGTTTGCCGTTTTGGAGAACAAATCTTTAGGGAACCGTGGGATATCACTACTCTAAGTGATGAGAAAGTTATGGTGGTGGACAAATCTCCTTCCCGCTGTGTTCACATATTTAGCGAACAAGGTGAACATCTGAAGGAGTTTGATCTCCACGAGACTCTTTATTTTCCAAAGATTGCATTTCACAGGGAAATCGTGGCCGGCAAACCGATTTCGACAAAACACCTCTTTGTAGGAGTATACACCAAAGATGGTGAGTTCGTACGTAGAACCCTTATCTATGTTGGAAAGCTACGTTTACTGACTGGGATTGCAGTGACCTTTGAGGGACGCATTGCGATAAGTGTCGGTTTTAGAGATTTCTCACACAAAGTTATCATTATTTGAAAATCGCACTGATTTTCCTATGTTGCTTTCGCTTTTAGTTTACAGACTCAGTCAGCTTCACACGCGGAAGTGAATC